ACTTCCGTTTATTATATTATTTTGAAAGGAAGAAACAAAATAGAAACATATTATCTCAATGACCTAGCTACTGACACCTACATATTACCGGCTTTCTGTCCTTTACGCTGTTCTGTTTAATACTTATACTTCTCTGTCTGCCTGTCTTTCTTTCTTTCTGTCCATTTATAATTACTTCTTATATCTGAGGATTGTCGGGTCGGTTGATCGGACGTGAAAAGGTTTGAGTTTAGCTTAAACAAATTTTATTGACAACATATTGACAAAGGGATTAGTCGGTAAATTTTTCCAACTTATCAATTGACTTCTCCCGTAATACAGACAAATATAATAATACACAATTGTCACATGATGGTAAGAAAATAAATATGTTATTAATGAATTGGATTCATGAGAGAGAGAGAGAGAGAGAGAGAGAGAGAGAGAGAGAGAGAGAGAGAGAGAGAGAGAGAGAGGTTTGGAAGCATTTGGCGGTGTCAGGGATTCAAAATTGTACAAATGGTGAATCCCCCTCTCCCCTGTGGGCTGAGGGGCAGGGCCAAAAAGGGCAATTGGGCCATATGCCTTCAAGTGACCTCTTGTCTGTAACCAGGAGATGGATATCCATCATATTTGTTTGGAAACATTCTCTGTTGACTGGGTTCAAATTTCTGCTAGCTGAAGGGCTGATGCCAAGGGGTAGCACCACAGCCTTAACTTGGCAATGATTAAGATCCTCTTAAAAGTCATATATGCAATGGCTGTGTAGATGAGAGTACATGTGCTACAAAGTTTGCTCTAGTATTAACATTTGTTATACCTGTGTGTGATGACAGGTACATGTATTACACATGTATATGTGAAACACCTGCTTGTGATAGTATATACATGTGTAATATCTGTTTATGATAGTATATGCATATGTAATATCTGTTTGTGATAGTATATACATTTTTAATATGTTTGTGATAGTATATACATTTTTAATATCTGTTTGTAATGGTATAAACATGTGGTATACAAGTGTGTGTTGGTATATACATATTGGAATAAACATGCGTGTTATACCAGTGTGTGATGGTATATACATGTGTAATACCTGTTTGTAATAGAACATGTGTAATACCTGTTTGTGATTGTATATACATGTGAAATACCTGTTTGTGATAAAACATGTGCAATATCTATATCCTGTTTATTATAAAATATAATCCAGATGTCTTTACATAGAAATATTGAGTAGTATATATTTTGATTTGTATACAGATTATAAAAAGTATACAGAGCACTACCTTTCTCTTCTTTCTAATCAACTTTCTTCTTCTTAATGTCTCTCTTGGCAACGCCTCACTTTTGACCTTTAGTTGAGCGTTTGCCCCTGTAAGGAAGGCGTTGGGCTCTGTCCCCCGGCCGAGACATACCACAGATCGCAGCCTCCCAAAACACACACGCATATACTATACGTATGCATCCTACGACACAAGCCCTGTGGGTTATGTAGAACAAGCACGCCACATGTTACTTGTGTTACTGAACGTAAATTATATATATCTATATATATCCACTTGACACGTACTAAGCCTGTAGCAATTAACATTTCGTAAAACCATTAAGGCATCGCCATGCGGGGCATACTCAGTACTAATCTTCCATTGACATATGGAAGTCCATAAAGTAGTTGTTGTCAATCCCTGCTTAATGTTCAACATTTAGGGTTATCACATCAATTGGTTTACTCGTCTTCAGTATAATGTGACTGGGACGAACATTGTGCAGGGTGGAGGGGACGTTAAAACGGTCCACTTAGATATATCTGCTGCTACCTTCAGTACGCTTTATAATACTTCCCGTTATAGAATATTAAGCTATAGATTTGACTGCTGATTAAAATTTCATGGATCATATGAGACGGGTGCCAAGGGAGATACCAACGAAAGTTAAAGTGTAGAACAGAAAGATCCCAAGCTTTACGATGGGGACAGCAGATCAATTTTAGTCTCTTCGTTGAAAAGCCCGAATACTGCATGAGTTCCCACATCAGTTGTCTCTAATGTCATGCAGGTGGATACACCAGGCCTATTTTCTTTCCCGAACCTGGACGTGTTTTATATTTCTTTGTTATTTTGAAATATTTATTTCAATGAATTGATTCAGTGTGAATTGGGAAATTACATTCAATATAAGCATTGGTTAAGAACATAATGTATTAATCTGTAGGTAAGAAGGAACATTCACTATTTTACAAATATTTCAGAACTAATTAACGTTTCTTATGTATTACTATAGCTGCATTAGTTCAACAATGCGCTAAACTTGGAGTATGAGTTCTGTAAACCGGTTAACATTCGCCTAGTCAGAATGTCGGCCTTCACTAGTAAAATCCTTATATAAGCCCAGTGATATTTCTTAGCCCTTTACATATGACTATACGTGATGCACAGTACATAATTGTTAGCTTGGGATAAACTCGCCCTCATTATGAAGGACAAAAAAAGAAAAAAGCTAAACTGCGGCGCTATACGGTTTTTACATTTAAAGTACAACAATAGTAGTTTTTCACTTGTAACATAAATAATATTTTATAAATTTTGTAAGAAAAATGTATGAGAAGGGCTTTGAATTGTTTTTACACAATTAATCTAAACCGTGCATAAATGTTGCGTAGTATGTGTCGGGCGTTAATTGCATACAGGCACCCCCGCCAACCTTAGTTTCAACCGAGATATTATGTTTTTGATGTTTATCTTAGCTTTTCATCGATCGATAAGTTATTCAAGTTATTCGTGCATATTTATAAACCTCTTTGCGAAAGTACGTACATTGTCAGCGTTCAGGCTGTTATCAGAATTATAATCTGCAGCGGATAAACACACTTATGCTGACTTTAATACACCAAGTAGTACGTGGCGATGCCTTTCGTTGAATTTTCTATTAATATGTGAGAAAATAATGTTTCCATACTTAAATGAAATCTTTAAAGCAAGGGCAAACAAAAGTGCTTATATTAATTTCTTTTTGTAACAAAGGAGCATACAACGAAAGTTCAAGTATGTATGAATGACAAAAACTGATGACGTATACCATATTAACCCTCTTAGAGAAACTCATTTTTCAAAATCGGAACAAATTGGATACAGGCCTTTATGTTTTTCTTTTCTCTTCTCTTTGACGATGTCTATCTAGGAAGACTCGGGGAATAATACACCTGCTGTATCCCACTGAATGTCGCAAAAGACCACGAAAAGGTTAATTTGAGCGCTTGGCAATGTGGGTAAGGCAATAGGTTCTGTCCCAGGCATTCTGCGCAGGTTCGGGGTGATTGTAAGAGGCGACTAATGTTGGCCCCTGCAGATAATTGGGGTGGTGTCTTCCTGTTTTCTATTTAGGGGACAAGGAAGAGACCAAAATTGATCTGCCACCCACATTACAACACTTGGGATCTTTTTCGTTTCTAATCTCCCCTGTCTTCGTTCTTTTCTATCTACTTTGTGTTTCTGACGGTGTGTTCGTAGGCATCCGTTCTCATATGACCCTGGCTGTTGCCAGGACGTTAAACTTCAAACAAACGAAACATACTATCCCTAGGACGGTATAAGTTCTTAAAATCATTACTTGCTGTTCCATGATTAACGTTCAGCATTTAGGTCTGTTCGCTTTATTGACCGTCTTGGTACCTTCGCTGTTGCGAGAGGGTCAACTCAAACCAGACAACTGAATTTTATTTTGTTTAACGCCCTACTAACAGCTAAGGTCATTTAAGGACGTGCCACCGTGTAAGTTGTGGATGCGTGCATGTGTGCTGGAGATGTTTGTGTACTTACCTCCTTGTGATAGCGCGGATCTGATGCCGACTTTATAGTGCTATCTCACTGAAATACCAACTACATAAATGGGAAACATATTTCTGGCAAATGTTGAAGTTGGAGCAACATAGATTTATATATGATATCGTCATTTTTATATATAATATTATTAACAGATAGTTCATATACTACAAGTACCTACAGTACTTACCCTCGAGTATGAGTTTCGTTTTGTTTATTTTGTTTTTGTATCGTTTCACGGTCCATCGACAATGCGAGTCATAAGGGGCCAAACAACACGTCAAAATAGGCAATCACAAAAATGAATACATCGAACTAGAAAGAAAAGGGTTTTAAAATGTGTGAAAAATTATCAACAGAGAACGAATTGGCTGTAAATCATCAAATCTTATTATGAAGATCAACTACGTGTAAATAATCACATATTGATTGAACAGAAACGGTATCAAATGAACTTTTCATACACGACACATTATAGAATCTGTCACTTTTTTGTTTGAAATCTGTGCATTCAATCATAAAATATAAATTATGGTTCCTTCACATGTTAAAATGTGTTTGCATTCAATAGAAATACTTAATTTATTATGTTTGTATGCGAAAACAAAAGCAAAAGCATAATGACAAATTATTTAAGATAAATCATATACATATCATAATTTCAATGTCACAAATATATTATGCAAATTCACTTTATCCCAGCACAACAATATCGTTATCATCACATTTATTTCAGTAAAAAAATTGCAGCTTCCTTACCTATCCTGATACTATATCTTTGCTGTGTATGGAATTTAAATTCATAGATCGATATTTTGAGCACAATAAATTTGTCTGTGAAGGTCAGAGAATTTGTAAATCTTTTGGTTTGGTTTTATTTTGTTTAACGTCCTATAAACAGCTAAGGTCAATTAAGGACGGCCTCCCCTGTGTGCAATATTCATGCGTGCAGTGTATGTGTGTGTATTTTGGGAGGCTGCGATATGTTCGTGTAAATCCATATAAACATGAATTGTTTATCGATTTTTTAAAAGGTATTATTGTAAATTTTTCCTTTGTTCATAATTTGCCCTTGCTTTGTTCGATTTTGGTTTTGTTAACACTTCGGTGCTCTTTTTGTTTTTTTAATATCCAGTTTGCTCACCTATCCATCCCTTACGATACGCACCTTGATTGATTTTAACTGATCTTTTACAGGATTTGTTTGCCTTGCAGCTTGTAGCTTCAAGTCCATCATCTAAGGATAGCCGATTCAAGAATGAGAGGCCGTTACCCATATGCGCTGTGCATAATAGGAATCGTTTTATTATCGATTTTCATAATTGGTCAATATTTACCCAATACTTCACAGACAAAAGTGTCTGCAGCAAGAGACACTTTTGAGCAAATCATTAAACGAGTCGACCATACTATCCAATTACACGTTGAAAATGAGAAGCCTTTTCAACCCATGGTTTTCATACCACAACGCGACAAATCATTTGATTACAAGAAAGTAATGGCTGATATGAACAGCGCAAGAGTGGACCAGGCAGAACCTCGGTTAGCAGACATCATAAGAAACTACTATGTGGAGCCGCCATCTTTGGAACCTTACAGTCTGACCATTCCCGACAGACTAGAATACTCCAACGGGCAAACTCCATTTGTCGATAGCAGACTTAATTACATTGTAAGTAACTAAGGTATAAGACTTTTGGTCGACAGCAGACTCGGCTACAGTTACCAGGGGAGTAGACTGTTTTAATTGATACCAGACTCGATACGTGTGTACTTATGTCGGCAGATAAAGACTATAATTCCTTCACTCTTGTCTCCAAAAACTATTACATATGTATCAAGTAAAAAAAAAATGGATTGTTCGATAAGGAAAGACACCCTACCACTTCCTATTCTGTAGCAGTAGTACAACTTCTTCCGACTTTATTTGTTGGTAGTGATACTGTCCATCCTCCCTTTGATTTCAACTTATACAATAACTTTTTGACGTCATACTGTCATCTGCTTAACAACGCTATTATCCAAAACTTTTAACAAACATTCCTTGTACTTTTCTATAAAAATTAACAAGATAACCGGAACAAATGCACCCAGTCCCCCTGCAGAATCAGGATGGTTTATTACTTGTGGTCTGCTGAGGGGACATGAAAGAAAACAAGAGTAGATCTGTTTTATCCCACTGCATGTCGTAAGTGGCGACTGTAGTGAGGCTCAAACAAATTCGGGTTTTTCCCCCATGTGTTCCACAAAGAAGACATTGAAGAGAAATTTATAAAATTGATCTACTGCTCCATGGTAATCTCTGAAATCTTCTCCTTTATCACTTCCCTACTTTTTCTTTCGTTGTGTCTCCTTAAAAGGCTCCCCTCATCATATGACCATGGATGTTGCGATGACGTTATACTACAAACACACAAAACAAACAACCAGAACGATTTCATTGGCAAATCGTATATTTCCTTGCGCGTTATTAATATCGATTGTTTTTTAACCTTCGTGGGGGTGCCTTGTTGTTTTGTTGTTACAACCTGGATGAAAACATGGCCTTACTTGGATCCACGTAGGTGTGCATGGTAGATGTCATCTACGAAATGGACTTAACCCAATACCTGCTCATATTTTCCTTTTACTATTTCAAAGGTCACCATGTGGATCCTTACCTGTTCATAATTAGCCCTAGTTTAATAATTTCTTATTCGAATAACGTTTTTGTTTCTTGTTATTTCAAGGTTCAACATAATTTTCCCCTAACGTTTCTTTTTCTTTTTCTAGGAAGATGGGTTTTATATTGAATGTGGAGCGCTTAACGGCGAGAAAGGTTCTAATTCTTTCTTCTTTGAGAAAGTAAGGAAATGGAATGGACTGCTGATTGAAGGAGACCCATCAAATTATGCCATGTTGAAATCAAAACATCGAAAGGCACTGACAATGAATTCCTGTCTGTACCCGCATACTTATCCATCAGAGGTAAATCAAATGTTTGTTTATTTATTGCTTATTTTGTCTTTCAAATATTTTTGCTTAATAAATAGACATCCAAAATAAGCATTTAAGAAGTCCGTTTTCCAATATCTAAACCGCCAATTTTTTTAATGTTTGCGTCAACACTCCATCCTATCATAATGATATCGGTCCAAGTGCCGCATGCTTTTCTGTTTGTTTTCTTTATATAAATGCAAGATAATTTTAAAGCACTAAACTAAAATATAAAGAGCGTTGAAGAGAAAACTTTGATCTCCTGCCCCATTGCAATTTTCTTTCTTTTTGGTAACAACTACAATTAGGGCTATGTTTCGTCTTATTCAAAGGGATTTTGATTTGTTTTATTGAAATTAACAACCTATTTAACAGTTATGTTAATTAAAGCACGTTCCTACATGAGAGAAGTGTGTGCCGGTATGTTGACTATTTATTTCCTTGCTTTAATAACAAATTTTGTTATTTATTTAGCTTTATTAGGCTTTACAGAATGGAATTTCTTTAAATCAATCATTTTAAACTTTGATTATATTTTTGTTTGTCATGGCTTAAAATCTGTAAAAAAATCCCCAGATATTAATAATAAAGCCGCATTGGCGGTGCCATCTGCCTTTCAATCCCTTTTTTTGGTTTTGTTCAACGTCCTGCTAACAGCTAAGGTCATTAAAGGACGTGGCTTCATTTTTGAAAAGTATGCGTGCTTGTGTGTACGTGTGCTAGAGGCATGGAATGTTGGTGTATTTACCTCCTTAGGACGGATCTGATGCCAATTTAAAGTGCTACCTCACTGAAATGCTGAAGGCACCCAGCACGTCATTCTTCCATCACATTATACTGACTACATGTAAATGCTTCGTTGCGAAAACCCTAAATGCTGAACTTTTAGCAGGGATTGAGGTATGTCCCGGTATTAGGACAGAACCCATTGCCTACCCCTATTGGGCGAATGCCAAAATGAAGTATTGCAAAGCAAGGCACTAGAAAACAAGTTAGGAAGTCGATAAGAAATAAAAAAAAGATCCCAAACGTTGCCATGTGGGCAGCAGTTTAGTTGTGGTTTCTTCAATGTCCCCCTCGCAGAAGACACAGAGGAAAGCCCCCGATTCTGCAGAGCCACCAACAATAGTCACCTTTTACGACATGTTGTAGGATACAGCAGGTATTTTTTTTTTTCCAAACCTGCAAGGGATTCTTTTTCTGGTATTCCCACATGTCTGGGACCCCAGCATAATGCAATTTGACATGTTACGAACAGTACATCTGTTGGTAGATTACATCGAAATTCAGCCAGCAACGGGAAATAATTTACAATAATAAGAGGAATTTCAAATCTCTTTTCGAACAGCAACTGTAGCTACAATTCTAAAGTACTTCCCGGAAGCTGTTCAAAAAGATATAAATAATCATAACCGCTTTTACTTACAGAGATGTTTGGTCTTTAACCCTCGTTTGTTTAATGTCATTTTTTTTGCATTATTTCCCGACCTTTTGTTGAGCTTAATGATAAGTAAAAAAAAAAAATACCATCCTTTTAACAGCAAAGGTCATTTAAGGTTTGGTTTAGTTTTATTTTGTTAAACGTCCTACTAACAGCTAAGGTCATTTTAAGGACGTGCCTTGGTGTATGGTGTAGATGCGTGCTGGATACAGGGTATGTGAGTGTACTTGCCTTCTTTTGATTGCGCTGATATGATGTCGACTTTATTGTGCTATATCACTGAAATACCATGTCGAAGGCACCCAGCACAGCATTCCGCCTGGTCAAATTATACTGACAACGGATGAACCAGCTGTTGTCATTTCCACCAATGCGGAACGTTAAGTAGGGAATAACGACTTTTAATGACTTTGGTATGTCCCGGCCCGGGGATAGAACCCATTGCCTTTCTCACCTTCGCGAACGAACGTTCAACATTAAAGGCAAAAGTGAGGTATTGCTACGTAAGGCTCCAGAAAATAAAAGGTAGTTAGCAGTAGAGAGAAATGTAAAGATACCAATCATTTCAATTGGAGCAGCAGATTTATTTTGATCGCTTTTGTGTTCCCTCTGCTTTGGGACACAAAAGCAAATCCACAGTTAAGCAGGGGGTTCCCCCATTAGTCGCGATATATGTAGTGGGTAACAGCAGGTGCAGGGATGCGGCTCTAATGACCTCCTCTGTGTTGATGGCCCGTTAAAAATGTAATAATATGCTGTAATTGTCTTTCGATTTTATTTATATGTTTTGGACCTTAGCGTGTAAGAAAGTCATCCATATAAAGGGAACCCTCTACTAAAGTGACAATATTGATTTTCAACCGAAAAAAGACAATATCAGATAGGAAGTTTGAAATAATATGTGGTAAATTGCCTACTATACCCCGTAGATATTTAATTTGGAATTGATTAGAGTACTCCTCTACTTTTTTTAATTTACATAACAACTGGGTTTCACGCATTCCTCTTCTGTTTTAACAGCAGTTAAGACCTATTTAGATTTCCACCGATTTGGTCTCAATATTGCCAATAAGTCCTAGAAAGGCGAAACTGCTGCATGTTGCAGTATAATTAGCTTTAAGCATAATATTGCCAAATTTTAAAGATGCAATCACATGTGTCATGCGTTATTACAAGTAAATAAGTAACTATAAATATTGTTGTTTGAAACTCTTGTTGCAGGTTTCCTTCAATAAAGCATTTAACAGAGGACGTGCCGTACATGATGACAAGGTGAACAAATGGATAAACCAGCAACGTCTTAAATCAGACCTTGTCAAAGTCCAATGTTTCCCGCTATATTCTATCCTACTGGCCCTTAACCGGACAACCGTCGACTTCTTTAGTCTGGATATCGAAGGCGATGAATTTGGAGTGCTACAAACTATACCGTTTGACAAGGTCAACATTAAAATGTTAACGGTGGAAGTCACGCATGGTACGACAGGGAACAACGAACTCCAAAAGTTCATGGAATCTAAGGGATACGATACATTACTTAAGGTATCTAGGGGTGATTTAGGCGTCAATGATCTTATATTCCGGAAAAAGGGACTAACGCACTGAGATGTGGTATATAACCCCTAATAATTCACCATAACATGAGTAAAATATGAATGTATAAAGTTATGAAAGGTTATGTTATCATAGTTGAGGGACTGATCTGTGGTATATGGTTCCATTACATGTATATATTTCACCCTTGTATTATAAACATAAATGTATAAGTATGTAATTATATCATGAACATGCATTATGCTTTTTACTGTCTTGTCGCACGTCCAATTAATCTTTGGTATCAGTTTGTATAACTGCACAGTGTTTGCTTTTATAATGTTAACTAGAGCATTCAGCAAGGGTCCTGCCATTTCATGTGCGTGACTGTACCATACCCTCTATTTTTAGAGTCGTGCATTTCGATTCCATAGCGATTTCATGTCTTACCAAAATGGAAAGGAACTACGTTTCAATATTTCTGCTGTAAATGCCGACTTGAAATTTGACGTGTTTTCAATTAAAACCTGTTTTGATAAACTATTAAATATTCACACGAGCATGACTTCTATTTATGTAATGAGAATGCTCCAAAGCGTATTCCCTGCTACCGTAAATATTTTTTGTTTCTGATTGACGTACATAGTAGTATTGTTTTTACAAGCTAACCAAAACATAATGTATAATATTCTCTTTACCTGCAATTGTAACCATTTAATATATGTATTTATTAATGAAAACAAATGTAGACAATAGGTAGACAGGTTTATGTCTTCCTTTTGTCTATTATGTTTAATGCCATCCAATATGTATTCAAATGTATATTGAAATTAAATAAAGTTTTAGGAAAGAGGTATTTAAATAATTATAAAACAATTTCAGTTTTATGAAGCTGTTCTAAACCTCCAGTGTCAGGGGCTGAACATTATATATATATTTTAAATTTTCATTTTATTTTACAAAACAAAACATGTATGACATTATACATTAGTACATGATTGTTTTAGTACATGATTGTTTATACACAGCAAACAAAAAGGTCTATACAGTTTTTTCCCAGTTTCGTAATCTTTTTTTTACACTAAACATGTTCTTATTATCATCATCATCATTATCATCATCATCATCATCATAACCTGACATCATCATAATCATCAGCATCATCTGATAGTGTTCTTTATATCATCCTCATCATCATTATCATCCGACATCATTATCTGACATCATATACACCATCTGACATCATCATCCTCTGACATTATTCTTAACATCATTTTCATCATCATCATCATCAGACAACATCGTCTTTATCATCATTATCATCATCATCTGATATCATTCTTGATATCATCCTTATAAACATCATCATTGTCGTATATCATTCTCCTCATCATCATTTTACATCATCATCTGACATCAGAATTATCATCTTCTGACATCATATTCATTATAACAGGTCATCATCCTCCTCCTCCTTATCTATTTAACACTCACGCATTAACTCTTAAAATAATGTAGTCATGATCATGATCATCATCATCATCATCATAATCATATGATATCACATTCATCTGACTTCGTCATTATTCTCTAACATCATCATCGTCACAATAATCATTATCACTATCATAATCGTATCCAACATCATCTGATATCATCATTTTCATCAGACATCATCATGATGATTATTTTTGTAAACTTATATTTAAACTTGTAAATGCAAACATGTATATGAATATATTGTATAAGCAGACATTTAAAACATTGCCAGTGCTATGTACATACATCAAGACATACAATATATATACACCTATGACATCAAAAACACAAGAGCAAAACCAAACTAACTATAACAAAAATATACAAAAGCAAAACACAAAACATAACAGGGGATGAGTGAGCAACCCTAATTCATGTTTTATTTTTTTAATAAAACCAGACAAATTAAAATACATTGAGTGATGATTATTTTTACACTAAGGAGACAATAAAATACAATAGATGTATATGCATAGAACAAATATGTGATATTATAACTGCATCCAGATATCTATTTGATGGTTTAGCTCATCCTTATTTATAATTCTTTTTTGCTTAGAAACAAGGATCTTTTGTGCATTCAGTTCAAATTTTAACTTGTTTTTTGGGACTATTCAGATTAAGGTCTATTTTAGGCATTTAGTTTTATATATGTATTGTTTTATAATTAGTATGATGATGTTTTCTTCATGTTACTTTGTATGTTTGTAACAATCTTAGTGTAATGTTTGAAGTTATCATTTTTGTTTTCAGCTCTTCATTTAGCCTATCAACATTTTCGCAATCCCATAGCATATGTGCTATTTGTTTCATGGTGAATATTACAGAAAGTGCAAAGGTTATTGTGTGAGTTGCCAATTTTGAATAAAAATGGGTTTAACATTATTTGTAATCAATACTGAATATGTGTTCCGTGCGCCTATACTATTTCTAAGTATAACCTTAAGATTGATAGGCTGCAAAATATATTATGTATATGTAAAGATATTATGTAAAGATCAATAGAGTATAAATAGTCATATAGTATTTGCACAACAACTGCATCGAATAATCTTTTCATAGACGGAACATCATAAAATCTGTGACGTGTTTGTTTAAAATCAGCGCATTCAATCATAAAGTGTTGGACTGTAATTGATTTCTCGTTTACATGACATTAAGGCTGTTCTGTCTGCCTTACGCAAAATGTAGCCATATGTGATGTAGGTATGGCTTATGCGTAGTCGCGAGAAGACAATATCATCTCTGCAGTCTGTTCTACTTGTTGCACATGAACCCACATAAGGTTAAATTGAAAATAACTTGCTGTTTAATTCTTCAGATCATTTTTTTTTTCCAATTCGTTTACATAAAATTAGTTATAGAAGGTTTAAAATCAGCAAAAGGCAGTTTAATATATTTCGGTTGTAGGTTACGGGCTGCTTTAACAGCTTTATCTACCTTCTCATTTCCGTTTATTCCATGACCTGGTACCCAAATCAAGATCATGTGGCAAAATCATAAAATTCTGTTAATACGAAGGGCGATGTTTTGTAGGAGAATGTTGTTAAAATTCCTTTTTTTATACTTTGTAATAGTGACAAAGAGTCTGAACAAATTATTACTTTTTTAATTTTATTATTTTCAGTTTCATCCAAAGTCAGACCAACGAGACAGTAGCTGTAAAAATAGATGCATTATTAGGTAAACAGAAGTAAAAAGATACGCTACTTATAACACATGCTGCTGGAACATTTTCTTCGAATTGAGAGCCGTCCGTATATAAAAGTGTATGTGAAGGAAATCTTGAGATGAACTCAGAGAAAGAGCTCTTGTATTGAACCGGGAGAGTTCGAGATTTTTCATTATTGTGTTATACTGTAAACGTGGAATATTACGCGCGGGGAAAATGTACGCTTATTACGCGGAGTTGGATCGTCCGCGTAAATTTCCCTCGCGCGTATGGTTAGTGTAAGGAACGACAGATATTGGTACATGTGTGTATGTGATGTCCTCCTGTAATATTGCTTTGTTAACGTATTACTAATTAACGTACATTGTCTTGTAATGGTATAAACTTAAAACAATAACAACTGAAATAAACAACTTGATTAATTGAAGTTTTTAATGAACAACAAATTTGAAAAAAATATAAAGGCACAGAGAAAGTCATAAATAAACCCGAGTGCATCGAGGTCCGGTATCATCGTGTTTACGGGACACAAACAGCAAGCAGTCTTACTGCATACTTCCCACCTCTCACAATGGAAAAGTGTGGGCAATAAATCACTTGCTACCACAGTCCACTGCACACATAATCCCCTTTCAAGGCCAATCATGATTACATGACCATGAAAGGGGGTGTGCCCAGTGGACTGTGGCCACAAATGCTGTAAGAAAGGGGAGATAATCAATCAGTGAGTAACGATGAAGTCAATACAGTAGAGGATAAACTTAGTTGACACATTTCAAATAAGGGGAAAAAATGAAAGTTAAAAATGGTAATTTCATGATTGAAAAACACAAACAGATTTCCTTATCACGTGAGAGGATAAGCATTTCCCGGAAAAGTTTATAATCTTAAGGAGCTGTTCCTTTATACAAAATTGCACATTCAAATATACCATTCATTGAAAGAACTGGAATTCCTTAGGGATTGATAAACCCTTACATTGTATATATGAAAATGGTTTCAATATCCTGTACCTTTGCCACATCTTGAAAATTAAACTGAAAATGTAGTCAGAAATTCAACATTGTTTCCCGTATTTTGAACAGACACTCCTTACCTTCCCTGACACTGGACCTGGATAGTAATCCAAAAACACTTGTATCCATTATGAAGGATACACTCAGACTGGGCTATTGAGAATCTTACCTGGTTATGATTAGTACTCACTCACATAGGTACATGTAAATTACCTGCAGTGTAGGGTAGGTAAAAAGATTGTCCAGGTGAACATTTTTTACTCAATTTTTCTGTTTTGTTCGAGTTGGGAAGCATGCAGTAAGCCAGTTATTGCATGATTTCTCGTCACTCGGGATTTGTTACACCCGAGCGAAGCGAGGGTGTAATAAATCCCTTGTTACTCGAAAACCATGCAATAACCTTTACGTGTGCAACGATCCCTACACAGGTAAATGCCCCTGTCATCATGGAAGCGACATTAACTGCGCTCGATGAGTTACGATAACCTACGAATAGTGTATGGTTTTATCATTGTTATTGTTATCATTATTTGGAAAACGTGTTTGTTTTGACAAAATAGCAGTCACCTGTTTGATCCGAGGTGATTTCGAGCTGGTATAAGACACACATACACATGAATACAGTTCACCTTTATTCATCTATCCAATGACCAGTCGGTAGGTATACGTAACATGTACTCAGTAGCTACTAGTATTTTTACCTGTACACATTTTGTAAAGTAAGGGAGATAATTATGCAGAGTAAACGTCGGGCTTCTGCGACCGCGTAAATTACGCCCGCGCGTATAGTTTTGACCTTCCAAATCGCGTAATTTTCACCCAGCGTAAATAACCACGTTTACAGTACTAAATTTACTTTAGGCAGTCGACTTGTCGCATTATCTGGTATTATAGCAATTTCGATTAATGATGGTTCTAAATTTAAAAAAATCCAGTAGTTTTTGAAGTTGTATTCCAAAGGAAGGGATCAATTTCTTATTTCGTTCGAAAAAAATTGTATACTTTGGAAAAGCTGGGTGTTTCAGACTTGATTTCAACTGGTATGCAAACTGCAGAGATAGTTTTGTAACGGCAACCATACGGATGCTTTTGATTGGTCGAAATTTAGATATTGTTCGATTTTTATGAACATTGGTATATAGGGGTATTAGGTAACTGCAAATTCAACCTCATAGGTTTCGTTGACATAGTAACCACACGTAGCCTTCTGATTAGTCATAAAATTAGATATTGTTCGATTTTTGTGAAAATTGGTATATAGGGGTATTAGGAGAAGGCGAATTCAACCGCATAGGTCTCGTTGCCATCGCAACCACACAGAGGCTTCTTATTGGTCGAAATTTAGAAATTGTTAATAGGACGTAAAACAAACCTAACCAAATCCAGAAATACAGTTTGATTGCAAACGATGTCTATATCAAAACTAAATTGTTGTTGTGAACAAAAACATATGACTCCCCTGTAACAGTTTCAAAGTAACGACTTGAACAAGATATTCGGAATTCCTGAAAACTTTGCTGTTATTTGACCTGACGACAGTGCACTGTACATCGTCTGTGGGTGATGCAGATAAACTGCAAGTTTTTTCAGGATATCTTTAACTTTGCACTTATTTGACCTAATTATTAGAGGAACTGATTACTGCTAAGTTATTAAAAGCATATATTAACAAGTTCTACATGTAAAGAAGTCCTCACAACTGACCGCATAGTCGTAACTGATGCTTGGATTGAGTTAACAATGTCATCATATACTTGCATATTAAGTTTAAGCAAAATAGGACACAATAAAGGACCGTTGGCATCACCTTGGTGTACACCATTAAATGTGTTAAGTTACAGCTCGGAAAAGATGTTCCTGAAAAAAATGCATCAAGGTTAAGATTTTTTTGGCAGCGTAACTTGACCTGCATTATCGACCGGAGTCTCGAATTACTCTCAGTTTAGTTTCTAAGCATCTGTTTGCCTAGTTGCTAGTGTAAAACAATTAGCAATCAAATGATAAGTTTTCTTACAGTAGTGACAACAAGTTACTGGACACTGCACATCACCAGGGTCTGATATTTTTTGCAAGTTTGTAGCAGGTGAGATTTTACTCAGGTTCTCTTCTTAGGGTTCCGTATGCTAATAGTAATAAGTAAGAAAGGGAAATACACACTGAAAATTACATTTATTATACCCCGTGGATATCCAGACGATTCACATAATATACAGTAATATACTGTACAACACAACACCTAACAATTACATTACCTCGGCCTCACTATAGCTACTCAGCTTCGCTACGTGTTAAGTAAAAGTAATGACTACACAAGGTAACTTCTACACAAATATACATAATATCTACCCGTTACATTCCCCCTCTTTGAAAAATATGCTAATGTTAATCCTACAATAAAACACTGGGTAACATTTACCTATACTAGGTATACATTCAAAAATAATGTACAACAAAATATATAGACTTTATCTTTATATACAGTAGTGAAAATAACATATTTCATAAAATGAATTTCAATGATAATCAGATAGCTTATAACATGATCATATACTATCGACAAAATAAATAATTAATATAACAAACTTAACGACTAAATTTGCTTAATGCAATAAATTTTAAATTATTTCAAAGTTGATAAATTCCATAGTAATATACGAGTACATGTTATCTTCTATAAAAAAAATCGTAAGCCAATCAAACGACAAATAAACCCTGAATAGCCAATCAAACGACAAATAAACCCTGAATAGCCAATCAAACGACAAATAAACCCTGAATATCAAATTCGTCATTATTGCATTATATAAATGTCAAAACAAAAGAAAAAAAATATTAGGAAAAACGAACACAATACAGTCAGCTGAGATGCAGGATAAACACCATTTAAATTTGCTGAAAATGATGTGAACGAATATTTACTCTTATCTAATGTCTGTGTTGGCAATAGTCTGAAATGTGTTACCATTGCTTGCTAATTTCACATCATGTGAAATGTACTAGACTTGACAGGTAAATTTGCATGGACAGTTACATGCTGTGTTACTATATTATATACAGATTTGCAAGCCTCTTGTGGTTAAATACTGCTCTGTGAGTTACACAAGTATGTTAATGGGACTACACACTGGCGTATTGCATGTATGTGTATTTATACAAGTATTTGGTACACAAAAAGTTATGCCAGTGGTCTTGGACGTGTGAGGGAGAT